ATACGTATTTCCTTCTGCCTCGTACCCATTGGCCCCCGTGCTCACTCGACGCCCCTTGCGCCGCCTGGTCTCCGCCCTTCCCCGCCACTATGTCTCTTTGCTCGTCTCGAGTCTTCCCCTTCGCGCCCGCTCCCCCTCCCCCTCCTCCTCCGGCTCCCTCCTCCTCCCCTTGCGCATGTGCCGCTTGCGCCTTCTGCTTCTTCCTCTCCTCGATCGCCTTCCGTATGTACTCAGGGGGGCCGTCGAGGGGCACCGTGACCCGCAGCGTCCCTCCACCCAGCTCGGCCACGGCAAAGGGCGACGTGTGGTTCTCGTACAGGCGGCCTGGGGAAGGCGAGAGAAGGGGAGGTTATGTGGTAGAAAAGGTGCGATTCCTTTGCTGTGGATTCATTCTCTTTGCTTCTGTTCTCTCACTGTCTCATGTTCCTTTCTTTCTTCGTTCTCTCTCTCTCTCTCTCTCTCTCTCTCTCTCTCTCTCTCTCTCTCTCTCTCTCTCTCTCTCCTCCCTCCCTCCCTCCCTCCCTCCCTCTCTCTCTCTCTCCCTCCCTCTCTCTCTCTCTCTCTCTCTCTCCCTCTCCCCTCCCTCCCTCCCTTCTGCCCCCCTCCCTCCCCCCTTCCCTCTCTCTCTCTTTCCTTCTCCCTCTCCCTCTCCCTCTCCGTCTCCGTCTCCCTCTCCCACCCCCTCTTTCTCACTCTCCCTCCTTCCCTCCCATCCTCTCTCCCTCCATCTTTCCCTCTCTCTTAAACACACACATATTCCCCCAAAAAATGAAATTCCGAAGAGAAAACCAAATCCTACATAACATACATTAAGAATTTAAAAAAAAGAAAATAAAATAAAACAAAACAAAAACTACAAAGCAAGGTGACCCGCCGTTCGTATCAGCGTGACATTTTCCACCACTATTCGGGATAGGCCTGCTTAACCCCCTCAGGTTGAACGAGGGAGGCTGGCTGATGTCTCTCCCTCCTCCACTTCCCTCGGTGTGATCCTGGAATCCCATGAGCAACGTCATCTTATATGAAGACGGACGTTCGGTGCCAAAAGGAACGATAACAGATGGAATAAAAAAAAAAATGTCTTCTTGGAGTGGGAGACGAGTAGGAAAAGAAAAGGGAGAAAGGAAAGAGGAGGATGACGACACGGCAACGAGGAGAGGGAAGTGGAAGAGGATGAGGAGGAGGAAGAAGAGGAGCAAGAAGAAGAAGAGGAGGAGGAGGAGGAGGAGGAGGAGGAGGAGGAGGAGGAGGAGGAGGAGGAGGAGGAGGAGGAGGAGGAGGAGGAGGAGAAGAGAAGAAGAGAGAAGAGGAAGAAGAGGAAGAAGAAGAAGAAGAAGAAGAAGAAGAAGAAGAAGAAGAAGAAGAAGAAGAAGAAGAAGAAGAAGGTAGTGGTGGAAAAGGAGGAGTAAGAAATGATAGAAGAAGAAGAGAGAGAGGTGGAAGAAGAAGACGAAGAGGTGGAGGGGGGAAAAGAAGAGAAGTAGGAGAGATATAACGAGGAGGAAGAGGAAGGGAAAGAGGATGGGAAGAACAAATGGGAAGGGGAAGGAAGGTACAAAACTGACGAACGGAAAAAGGAAACGCCAAGAGTGAAAAATTGAGTCGGTTAAAATGGGAAATGCGGAAGAGAAAAGTAAAAAGCAAAAAAATGTTAAAACTAATGGAGGAGAGACACGCAGTAAAAAAGTAAATGAAAGGAAGGAGTGAAAAAAAAGAGAAAGAGGAATAGGGAACAAGAAAAGTGCGATACTCGTAAACCCATGAACAAAAGACCGGATAAACACGATGCGACGGAAAAGGAAATGAGTGAATAAATATGCGTCGAGTAAAAAAAAAGAAAAAAAAGAAAATAATAATAATAATAATAGGAATAAAAAAACACCAGATGAATAAAGTGTGTGATACGGAACAAAGGGGACAGAATAAAATGAGGAATGAGGAAATGTGGGATAAACACGCGTATAACTAAGTAATAAAAAAACGAAAAAACTCTAATGGGATGAAAAGAATAATGGATATATTCCTGTGCAGGTCGAATAAGAATAAGCATTTGTAAGGGCATGTGAAAAACAACATCTGATAAACGCCTGTGTAATGGCGACATAGCAACGTCGTATGTGCTATCAAAAAGTGTGTGTATTTGTACTCGAATTCTGACGATATTTCCTTTTACAGTAATTCCTTCTGTGAGGAATATCTGTCAATATTTGATACGACCCTTCAGAGCCAGTGGGGGTGGGGGTGGGGGTGGGGGGATTGGGGACTGAGGGAACGATGGGGGGAGAGGGAAAAGGGGGGAAAGGAGCGAGAAGGGGGAGAGGGGGAGGGAGGAAGGAAGGAAGGGAGACGCGGGAGGGAAAGGGAAATGGAGGGAAAGCGGAAGGAAGAGAGGAGAGGAGATGAAGGGAAAGGTGGGAAGGAAAGGTGAAGAAAAGAAAGTAGATGGTGAAGAAGGAAGATAGAAAGTAAAGGGAAGGAGGAAAAGTAGAAGGGGAAAGAA